CATAAGGTTTTGTGGAAGCGCAGGCATGCAAGCAGGCAGAACAATGAAAAGATGGTGAATGATGAAAGACAGATGACAGGACACTCACAAACATCTCTTGGCAACCTCACAGGTAAACCAGGTCACACAAAGCATTTTTTCAGAATAATCTCAAATATTCCACAACAAGCCTCCACTTCAGGTCTTTGGAATTAAGGAGACTGAGCTTTAGAAAGTGGTTCAGAAAGCAGTTGCCTGTAGAATAAGCATACCCACAAATTTACACGTTAAGATCTCTGCTGCTAGAATCTAGACAACTAGAGTCATCCAGCAATAATATTTCTAGGAATGTGCTCAGGCTCCCATGTGTCAATGTGTAGCATTTTGCTCCTCTTTCGATCCCAGTCATGCCCTCTGAGTGTTAAACAATACAGAGCAACCTTCTAACAGCTCTTAATATATATTTTATTTCAACTATCACTCTTATTTGGCAGGTGAGTTATTCTGCACAGCAGGTGTTCCTTAATGGTGTTAAAGAATAAACAGAACTTAGTGATGGTCTTACATACCCATTAGCTAATGGATTACTAAGCAAAAGGGACTCATGTTTAACCTCCCTGCACTTAGCCCACTGTTGAGAAAAATGTGAAAAAAGTATAAACCAACACTCCAACTGCAGTTCTCAGGACCCATGGGAGGTGAGCTCAAACTTTAAATGCAGTTCTTTTGATAGACAGGTGAATGAATGTGGCTATCATTATGTAATCACACAGCCTGGGAACTATTTATCATATTTATTATCCATGCAACATGTAGCTGTGATTTTTTCAAAAGCTCTTGACCTGCCTGAGAGAGGCAATGCTATTAGCATTGCTTTAAGGACCATGCAGAAAGGATTAAGCAGAGCAAAACTATAGAGTTGATGACGATGGCTCCCATTTCTACATTCCACCTGAACCCAGTAGATAATGATGCAAGAACTGTCAGAAGAACGTGACAAGGTTCCTTTTCTCTCCTCTGTCCAACAGCACAACTTACACACCTTAACTGGCACAGTCCCATTGGGCTTCTGGGTTTTCATAGCCTCTCATCATCCAGTTTTCAGTTAGCCATGTAGCATATTGATATTCACCAGCATTACCACCTTTTGTCTAAATAATAATAATAATAATAATAATAATAATTTATTATTTGTACCCCGCCCATCTGGCTGGGTTTCCCCAGCCACTCTGGGCAGCTTCCATAGAAACCAAAAAACACTAAAATATCACACATTAAAAACTTCCCTGAACAGGGCTGCCTTAAGATGTCTTCTGAATGCCAGGTAGTTGTTTATCGCTTTGACATCTGATGGGAGGGCATTCCACAGGGCGGGCGCCACTACCGAAAAGGCCCTCTGCCTGGTTCCCTGTAGCTTTGCTTCTTGCAATGAGGGAACCGCCAGAAGGCCCTCGGCGCTGGACCTCAGTGTACGGGCAGAACGATGGGGGTGGAGATGCTCCTTCAGGTATACTGGGCCGAGGCCGTTTAGGGCTTTAAAGGTCAACACCAATACTTTGAATTGTGCTCGGAAACGTACTGGGAGCCAATGTAGGTCTTTTAAGACTGGTGTTATGTGGTCTCGGCGGCCGCCCCCAGTCACCAGTCTAGCTGCCGCATTCTGGATTAGTTGTAGTTTCTGAGTCACCTTCAAAGGTAGCCCCACGTAGAGTGCATTGCAGTAGTCCAAGCGAGAAGAGAACTAGAGCATGCACCACTCTGGCGAGACAGTCCACGGGCAGGTAGGGTCTCAGCCTGCGTACCAGGTGGAGTTAGTAAACAGCTGCCCTGGATACAGAATTGACCTGCGCCTCCATGGACAGCTGTGAGTCCAAAATGACTCCCAGGCTGCGCACCTGGTCCTTCAGGGGCACAGTTACCCTATTCAGGACCAGGGAGTCCTCCACACCAGCCTGCCCCCTGTCCCCCAAAAACAGTACTTCTGTCTTGTCAGGATTCAACTTCAATCCATTAGCCACCATCCATCCTCCAACCGCCTCCAGGCACTCACACAGGACCTTCACCGCCTTCACTGGTTCTGATTTGAAAGAGAGGTAGAGCTGGGTATCATATTGATGGACACCCAGTCCAAACCCCCTGATGATCTCTCCCAGCAGCTTCATATAGATGTTAAAAAGCATGGGGGAGAGGACGGAACCCTGAGGCACCCCACAAGTGAGGGCCCAGGGGTCTGAACACTCATCCCTCAACACCACTTTCTGAACACGGCCCAGGAGGAAGGAGCGAAACCACTGTATAACAGTGCCCCCAGCTCCCAGTCCCTCTAGACGATCCAGAAGGATGTTATGGTCGATTGTATCAAAGGCCGCTGAGAGATCCAGCAGAACTAGGAAACAACTCTCACCTTTGTCCCTAGCTCGCCGGAGATCATCAACCAGTGTGACCAAGGCAGTTTCCATCCCATGATGAGGCCTGAATCCCGATTGGAAGGGATCCAAATGGTCCGCATCCTCCAGGCGTGCCTGGAGTTGTTCAGCAACCACGCACTCAATCACCTTGCCCAAGAATGGAAGATTTGAGACTGGGCGATAGTTGGCCATACTGGCCGGGTCTAAAGATGGTTTTTTAAGAAGCGGTTTAATGACCGCCTCTTTCAGCGGATCTGGGAATGTCCCTCACAGAGGGAAGCATTCACCACCCCGCAGAGCCCATCGCCCAGCCCTTCCCGGCTTGCTTTTATTAGCCAGGATGGGCAAGGATCAAGGAGACAGGTGGTTGGTTTCACGCGTCCAAGCAGCTTGTCCACATCCTCGGGGGTAACAGATTGAAACTGATTCCATGCAGCAGGATCCTTTTTCCTTCCATGCCTACTACTGATCAACTCTTCACGCTAATGTGACTGTTAGACGATTTATTGCAAGGATTAGACAATTTCATGGGTCTATCAACAGCTATGAGCTACGGAATAAGAGATGTGGAGCGAGTTCTGGGTAAGAGCTGTGGAGAACAGATAACACAAGAGCAGTCTAGAACCACCTGGCTATTGGAAACAATCTAGAATGCTGGAGTAGGTGGACCTTTATTATGTTCACACTTTGTTGAATTTATGCTCAGAAAATCACTCCACTGTACCTTGAGCTACCTTGCCATTTGACCTGCCTCTGAGGGAGGATGAATTTGCAATCGGCCCTCTGCAGCCACACAGCCTCACTGGACTCCAATGGCAGGAAGCAACAGAGCTAAGTGTTAACTGCATATTGGTGACCCCTCACCCCAAACTTCCTGATGACATCTCCCAGCAGTTTCATCTGTTAAAAGAGTATGAGGGACAAGATGGAACCTTGCGGAACCCCACAGCACAACTACCATGGGTCTGAGCAGAAGCCCCCCACCCCCCAATGATAGTCTCTTAAACTAAAACTGCAGAGTGAAACACTCTATCACTATGCCTCCAATTCCCAACCCACAGAACTGGTACAGGAAAATATTTTGGTTGATGGTAACAACACCCACTGAGAGATCGAGGAGAACAAACAGCAAAGTGTGGAAACATAGGCTGTTAGACTTTTAAAATATGCCCTTTCAAGTGAGGTCCAAAATGCCCCCTTAAAAAGCTTTTTTGCTTTTTAAAAGAGTTTCTCTCTTCCCCCAGCATAGGAAAATGACCATGTTTGGCAAATTAAAAATGGTTTACTTACAAACTCTCCAAAGGTGAGATTCGTGTGCTTCAGAAAGTCGCACAGACAGCAAAATTTGGCTGAGTTACAAACTCAAGAATGGGTGATGAGAGCCAGGTGGTGGAGCAACCAGCTCAAACCTCTTCACATGCTGAGCTTCTCTGATAGGCTGGGGGATGGAACAATAAACTTGATTGCCTAGTTCCTCCCAGGTGAGGGGAAGTGATATAACTAAGCCTAGCTTAGTTACAGCTTCCTGTATGATATTAACCCCTTCATGCATTGATTAGACTTAAGCAGGGAGTTGCCATATTTTAAAACATAACATTCCTGACACCCACAAAATTGTTGAGCTGTTTGGGGAACAAGCCCAAATTGTTTAAGCTTTTTGAGCTGTTTCTGCTACATTTTCCAATGCGTTGCCATATCTCCAGGTTTTCCCTGACATTTTGACAATTTGGCAAAATTCCTCCGACGCCATTTTTACACCCGAGAACCAGGACATGTCAGGAATGTTGGTAAGCATTCTTAGGTGAGGTTTGGACTTCAATATTTTTTATATATTTTTAAAAATACCTGAACTAATTTCCCTGGATCCCATATGCTAGACACCAGACTGATTGCTAGTAACATGCCTCTAAGGTTGATTCCTGGAATTTCACTCTGGATTTGTACCCATGTTCTCTTCTTAAACTAAAAGGCCATGTAGCTGGGACAGCAATGTAGTAAATGTTAACTAGAGGGCTGGTGAAGTTTTAGGCAGGCCAATGTGGGAATCAGCTATAGTAAAGCTCTAGTTGTTTTTAATCTTGCAGGTTGTTCTTCTGTGTGAAGTTTAATCACTAAGTTGCATTTTCATATTATATATTGTTTCCCATATGTTCATTATTTACATATTTTGTTCATTATTTCTCTCTTTCCTGAGGATTCATTCATGTATAAAGTTGATACTATTACATTACATCTTCCATAAACCATTGGGGCAATTTAAGAGCCTTACAAAAAAACTGAAATACAGAATATATAGAAAAAAATACAATACTAAAATCAAGTTAGAATCAAACACTAAAACATCATTACAGTCATACCTCGGAAGTCAAACGGAATCCGTTCTGGAAGTCTGTCGACTTCCAAAACATTCAGAAACCAAAGCATGGCTTCAGATTGGCTGCAGGAAGCTCCTGTGCAGGAAGACAGGCGCAGAAGCCCTGTCAGACGTTCGAGTTCCAAAGAACGTTTGTAAACCGGAACACTCACTTCCGGGTTTGCGGTGTTCGGGAGCCAAAACTTCCAAGTACCAAGGCATTCGGGATCCAAGGTACAACTGTACTTTAAAAAGACAGTGGCATAGCTCAATGATAGAGCATCTGCTTTGTATGCAGAAGGTCCCAGGTTCAGTTCCCAGCATCTTCAGGTAGGGCCGGGAGAAAGTCTTGCCAGGAATCCTGGCGGCTCACTGCTGATCAGTGTGGACAATACTGAGCTAGATGGATCAATGGTCTGCCTCAATATAAGGCAGCTTCCTATGTCCCTAACAGCAAAAGCCAGAACAATAAGGCCATAAGAGGAAGAGCAGTAAAACCTGCCAGCCAAATATCACTACAATCACTAACAACCCAAAGGCCATCCTAAAAAGGAAGGACTTCAAAGTGCAGCAGAATTCCATCAGGGAAGGGGTGAAGAGACAGTTCTCTCTGGGCAGGAAATGACAACATCTGAACATAGCCAGTGAAAAGGCCCTCTATTCCTCTGGATCTGTACAAAGTCAAAACATTACAGTCATACCTCAGAAGTCGAACGGAATCCGTTCCAGAAGTCTGTTCGACTTCCAAAACGTTCAGAAACCAAAACGTTTGGAAGCTCCTGCAGCCAACCAGAAGCCACAGAACCAGCGTTGGACTTTTGGGTTCCAAAAGAACGTTCGAAAACTAGAACACTCCCTTCCGGGGTTTGATCGTTCAGGAGCCAATTTGTTCAGGAGCCAAGGCGTTTGAGATCCAAGATATGACTGTATTGCATGATTGCACGTTAGCAACTCCCTGCATTAGAAATCAAGCATATCCAAAATAACGTGTTGTTGTTGTTGTTGTTGCTGCTGCTGCTATTATTGTTACTTCTATGTACATCTTGCCCTTCCTCCCAAAGGATCCCAGGGTGGCAAATGCATCAATAATACAGCACATTTAAAAAGCATCCTATAATTTGTCACACTAAGATATGTGCTTTTCATAGGTGGGAACTTTTGACTGCAAGGCAGGGGAGCCTTCAGGAGTATGATCTCCCCACTGGCATTCTGAATTGCAACATTCAAGGTGACTGTGCTAAATGCCTTCTCTGAACATGTAGATTGGCTCTCATGTGGCAGAATTACAGTGGGGGTGATGTCTCAGGTAAATATTTCTTGACATTGCCATACTAAACAAACATCCTCAATATCCTCTACCCAATAAGAATTCGTCTGTAGAATTTCAGGGTATGTAACTAGCACTGTCTGTTAAGTTTGAGAATGCAAATAAAAAAAATCTGAGATCTTTCCAATTTGGTGTTTTATTCCATTGATCAACCTTTGAATTTAACCTTAGTTTCCCTCTTTTTACCTGTGAAGAGCTTTTGCCAACAGATCTACTTTCAGGCGGATAAAAATATGTATCATTCCACCAGTAAATTATGCAAATTAAACAACTGATTAGCATACCGCTTCTGCTAGCATTAGAGGGGTTGTAGAAGGGGGTTGATAGGTAAAGTGATCTCCTTAGTGATAATTAACTTTGATCTCTTCAATAACAGTTAAGTTTAATACAAAGGGAGAGGGGGGCGAAGAAAGAGAAAGTGCAAAATGACATTTGTGGTATGGTAACAATAAAACAGCAGTTCATCATTTGTAGTAGCATAGCATATGATAAGCACTTTTCTCCCAGTGACATAATAATTTAAAAGTAAGATGAACAACAATCTTTAAAGTATGCTGGATTTGCATTACTTTCACATTCAGTCTTTGTTGGGCAACCTCTGAGGTGTTGATGAAGCAAAGAACAGAAAACGTACATTGACAATAACAGCAGCAGTAATCATAATGCCTTTTGTACTCTCTCTCAGAACATCAAAAGCCCTTTCCTATGCTCTGCAGTGATAGCAGCTGGTACATTTTGCCCATGCTATGGGATGCCAGATCTCATAAAACCAGTGCTTCCTTGTACCAGTAGAAGCTGATAGTGGTACTAACTTCCCAGCTCAGCCCATTTGTCCAGCACAAAATTCTGCTTTAGTTGCAGTATCACTAACAGCGAACATGGCAGAGTTGCTCCATGTTAGACATAGATAATTCTCATTACATGTATTAGTTTCTTCTTGTTCATCTCTGCAGTTTCCAGTTGAGTTAAGCATTCATTCTGGCAAGGAGAAGGATGCAAGTTCCCCACAGCTTTTCCTTCGCTGACTGATGGATGGGGCTTTCTTGACCTCCCTCTTGCCACAATTTTATTTCTAGGAAGTAGGGGGTACAGCCTACCCATAGTGCTTGGTCCCCTTGCTAGTGGCAGAGGCCGGAAAATATTCTCCTCACTTCTGTAGTCTTCACAACCACATTTTGCCTTGTACTGGTGAGACCACTGGACTAGGTCCATTGGGAGACCAGGGTTCAAATGCCCACTCAGCCATGAAGTTAACCTACCTTGTGAGGATCATACGGAGAGGAGGAGAACCATGTATGCCACCTTGAGTTCCTTGGGGAAAAGTGGGTTATAAATCTAATAAGAAATAAATTGAGCTCCATAAATATGGTATATATGGGGTGTGGGAAGTAGTGTGACACGATGCAGTAAGAAGATTCTTACTCATGTTGAGCATGGAAGAGCTTGATATAAAGCGTTTCATAGGTAGAGATATTCAGAATCATTTGTCTCAACACAAAGAAGCAAGGTGAAACATTATAGTTAATTATAGGGGTTTGGACAAGAAGATGCTTTGAGTCCCATCCAACTGTACAAAACCCCACCTAGGAATGAATTACAGTTCTGGTATCGGTTTATTTTTGATGAATTGTTGGACTCTAATGGGAAATGTGAGAAAGTATCTCCCCAAATAAGCATTTTTAAATCCCATTTATTTCAATGGGAAAGATTTAAGCTCATACTTAACTATGAAATTGAAATAATTGGATCTTATTACATATCCTCTACATTGGATAGATTATACCCATTTGCGACCAAGATTGTAGTCCGTAATAAAAGGATACACACACACACACACACACACACACACACACACTGTATATATTTTCATTGATTAGGAGAAACATAATAATATGCACTTCGCTTTTCTAAATTTCATGTGCATGACCTAAATTGGCAGCATGGAGTGGAATTTCCATATGCTGTTCTGGGGGTTCTCCCAAGCCCTATCTTGCTCCAGAGCCAATTGGGTGGGGCACTCAGAGGAGGAGAAGGGGATAAAACCCCATTGCGAAGCATAAGTCCTTGTACACAATTAGGGCTTGTTAGGTAAATCCCTCCTATAGTCTTGTGTAGTAAATTAAAAGAAAGACGTGGTGAAAAACCAAGGGAAGGAAAACTTCCAGGAGCAAACTGGAGGAGTGAGTTCAACCAGTCAATGGAGGAGGGAAAAGAGACTGATATACTGGTGTTCGGCTTCTGGGGAAATACAAATGTAGTATTTTTCTTCTGGCCCTACAAAGAGAAGCAATTAATATAATATACATAAAGGTTGCAGTCCTATGCACATTTGTGTGAAGTAAACTTCACATAACTCATGGGACTTAACTCAAAGTAGGCATGCATAGGATTGAAATTGCACATGGTTCAAAGTACCTTATTTTATTTCATTTCATTTATTAAATTTCTATACCACCTCCTGAGGGATGGCTCAATCAGTAGAGCATGAGACTCTTAATCTCAGGGTTATGAGTTCAAGCCCACATTGGGTGAAAGATTCCTGCACTGCAGGGAGATGGACTAGATGATTCTTGTAGTTCCTTCCAACTCTACAATTCTATGAATCGAGGCCACCGCCCTTCATCCAAAGATCACTGAACAAATGCTATGTCCTTCCATTGTGTGTACATGTGTATATCATGGTTTATGCGGCTTGGATTTTGCTTGAAGACAATGAGATCATATGGTACCATTGGACACCTAATGACACCAATTTATGGTGAACTATTAATAACAATAATTAACAAATAAAAGTAATTTTGCATAAACACTGATTTTCATTAAAATGTAGAGAATGCGCACAAACTGGCACCAAATGAGTATTTTGCCCATTTAATATGGGCAGTCACCAAATGATGCTGAAAAATGTGAGTAACATATATTACACCGACAGACATGTAACATGTAACATTTACCTAGGCAATATGCATAATTGGTGCCCAAGCACTATGTGTGATTTTGAGGCACATTCTTGATGCTTTTCAATGAATGTGCACAATCACTGGTGTCTGTGCTCCATTCAGTTCACATTTGTGTATGTGTGTGTATGTGTGTGTGTTATATCTCTATATAGCAGCTGCCGCATCTCAATGAATTTATTCACCAGCACCACAGAGCCTTCTGACCACTTGCTGAATCATTTTCATCCTGACAGCTCACTGCCTTTGATATGTATGAACTCAAAGGGGAAAGCCTGTCCTCCTAATTTCTATTTTCAGCCTGTGTCAAGGGAGTAGGAAAGAAAAGCAACATTTCAACTTTTATAAAATATAAATTTTCGGAAAATAATCATAATAATGAAAGAATGGCTTCACCGCTCCCCTATTTAATAGGCCTTCATTACAATTTAAAACTCATATGCAGGAGCTTCATATATTCAAATCTCTGGTGCCTATTTGAAGGTACTTCAGAAGGTGCACCCTGCAACCTGTGTGTAGGAAACTCTTTTGAATCTTGTCCTTGAAACAAAAATTTGTGCCCCAGGGGACTGAGGGAGTGTAGACAACTGGTAACTGCAGAGAGAGCGAGAGAGCGACTGAAAGCCAAGCTCGGAGTCCTTACAGCTGGAAAGGGAGAAAAGGGATGAGAGAGAAAGAGAGGGCGGAGGGGGGAAGACAGAGAATGTGAAGATGAGAAACGCCTTCAGGAGCCATTTGGGAGACAGTCACTGGGAAGAAGAAAGAAAGACATGCGCTAAAAACAACAGAAACACAGGTGGAAATGGCCTACTGGGAAATCAGGCTGTCAACAAACAAAAGCCGACGGCCAGAAAGCCGTTTCAGCGGCCGCCTCTGCTACCAGGGCATCAGTGTTCAGTAAATAAATTAGCAGTGGCTTTGACTGTGTGGAAATTAGTAGTGACACTATGAAAGAGGCAAATGACTGGCTTTTATCTGGCGTAAACATCCAAAGATCTACTTACTTCTGTGGGGAAAAAGAGAGAAAGATAGGCAGAGAGTTGGTGACTGTGACTTAAGATTCAAATGGGGAGTCGAGGGTGCAAGGAGGTGATTTATAAAAAGGAGAAAAAGAAGAAAGAATAAGGGGGGAGGGAAAAGTTCCATTTCATGTACTAGCAGCTCAGAACTTCATTTAGAGCTAATCAGCTCTGTCTACCACCGAGTCATTTCTGACAGCAACTCCCTCATGGATAGTTTGCCACTCAGAATACGTGAAGGAAACAACATGATAAAAATATCTGTGTCTATCAGAAGTGGGGGCAAGGGAAACACACACACACCCTACACACACACACACACACACAAAATCAGAAGCCATTTTTAACGCAGTCAGGAAAATAACTTGGACCAAACTCATCTCCTGTAAAAATGACATTATCCATTGTGGCTGTGTCCAAAGGGGTGGTCATGCAATGAAAACAACAGGGTCTTACTGCATTGTAAAGATTCCCAGATTTATGGCGCCAGATGCTTTTAGGGACTAGAGCCTGCCGGGCTCTGTTCTACAAAAGCTCATGCCCCACCCCTGCCTCAGAAGCCATGAAAGACCAACTGTCCTGTGTGAGAGTCCCTTGGGATGCAGGCGGACCTGATCACATGGCCCCAGTGGCAGACCTCAGGTTCTCAAATTTCAGTGGCACCCCATGCAATGCCAAAATTGGGTGGGTTCCCCACCTTCCAGTCTACTTCATAGTTGTGGTGCCCCCGAGGCACCACACCAAGTGCAACCACACCGGTCACCTTCCCCTAAATCTGCCTCTGATAGCATTACCTCAGCATCACATCAACTGGTCCTCTCCTATTTGTTTATATGAACTCAACATTTTCCTGTAGTGACAGGCTTGCTCAATTTTTTTCTTTCTGAGCCCGTTATTTCAAACCTGTTCTCCTCTTCAATCCCCTGCCCCATGTCTCCTCATGGGTCTATCTTATTCAAAATGAACCATGCAAAGTTTTTCTTAGCATTCAGATGCCATGATGAGGACGGGTTTCAGCTGCTGAAAACATTGTTGCTAAAAGTGCCAGAGACAGGAGACCTTCTATTTCAGAGAGAGAGGAAGTCGGTAACCCTTCAGGTACTTTGCCCCCACATATATCCACAACATTATAGTAGCAGCCTGCTTTGCTTTTGCATTTAACGCACAACACATTTCATTAATATATGACACACAAGCTTATAGAAAGAATTTCCCACCCCAGCACCATACAGTTAGATTGTTATCATTGTTTCCTAAACCACAGTGTATATTACTCAGAATTTTCAAGAGAAAAACTGGAGTGGTATTGCTTGGTTAATAATCAAATAAAGCAGATAGAAATCTCTCCAACAGCTAGGAGCCAATGAGTTATCATCAATGGCTTTGTGTCAGAATAAACGAAGGGTGGTATCAATTGTTTTCCCACTGGAATTGGTACTGAGGCCAGCATTAATCAATATACTCATTAACAGCAGAGGAGAATGTAAATTCAGTGATCATTGGATCTGCAGAAGATACAAAGCTGGGAGGGGGAAATGGCAAAAGGAGACATTGACCCATCAAAAAATATAGATGGAACTGATTAACTTCAGGATTGTGTCAGACTGAGAAATGCATTTGGGAAAGAATAGTGCATGCTATAAATGTAAAATCAGGGCAAGTCATCTCCTGAGGAACCCAGAAGATCACAATCAATAATATTAATATGGCTTCATAGAGCAATTCTGTGGCACAAAGAACAATGCCATTGTAAGAAATCCCCTCCCCCTACCCTATCATCACATCATTTTTAAGAGAAGGGACTAAACTGTCAATTCCAGAGCAAAATTTGTATCCAACTGTCTAAAAGGTATTTGGAAGGAATTAGGATGAGTTAAAAGAAAAACAAATAACCAAAAAAATCCCCATAATAATTTGAAACTGGGAAGGGGAAATGTTCCAGAAACTCACAGTTCATTGATTTAAGTTAGAGAAGGGCACAGGAGAATATACTTCTTACGAAGAGAATAAAAAATGAACATACTTAGTATGTTCACATTTTTATCATGATGGATTTTTAAGTTCTGTCAAACCAATTCTAAGTGCACCCTGAAGCTGTAGACATGATCCTATTGGAGGGGTATGATCCTATACAGAAAAGCCGAACCCACCTTCAAAACCAGATGAACCGCTCAATAACTGTAAATACATCTTATTTCATTTGCCCTTCGGTTTCTTGGCCTTCATTCAGTCTATTACTGACTCCAGGCACTGATTCAACACACCCAGGCTATATCATAGCTAAACAGCCCCGGACACAACTCCCCAAGGATAGCACGGTGATGCAAACTGAGAAATCCTTTAAGCCACAAGTTTTGGGATAATGTCATTATTATATTATTGTGCATCTAATCAGTGTGCCATAGCCACATTGTTTTTTGTGGGGGTTTTTCTGAGAAAGCAGTTCAGTTGCCTCAACATTTTCTTCTTTCTGGAGAAACAAATCGCCCTGCGCTAACACTATAAACCTACAATCCCATTTATTTCCCTTCTCACCAGCAGAGAAAAATAAATATCTCCAGGGTTGGACAAACATCTGAAGAGTTCAAAGAAATCAAGTACAAATTTTCCCCTGCTAAAATGTTAACACGATGGAAAACCTTTGACTGAGAGGTAACAAGAGATAAGTAGTTAGATAGATTCTATAGACAACAAGTCACAAACAAATTAAATCTATTTCACAGAAACACTGATATAATTTCCCTCCAGAGAATATCTAAGAGTGACAAAACAAACAAAGAAGTAACATGTTTCTTAATGTGAGAAATGTGACAGTCTATGGCATATGGCAAAACAAGAGTCTAAACGATGCGAGATGCTTTCTGTGAAAATACACTTCTTTGTATGGAGTGTATGTTCACGTATGCTGCTGTTGCGTTTAAGGTGATGTTAATTGTCTACCCAAAATGGCCTGTGGACCAGATAGCCTGCATTCTGAATCTATAAAGACCCTGGTCTGTTTCCATAGATCACAATAATACCATTTCCTTTTACGGGGTTTGTGTGGGATGCCATGCCTCAAGCAAGAGAATTAGACAAATTCAAGTGCCCTGGGAGGAAATGGGACGTCCCGTTTTTTCCTCACAATATCTAGCGTGCAATGTGCTCTCATCCCTCAAAAAGCATGCGGGGGGCAAAAGCAGGGCACAAGTCAAGGCATCCCGGAAGACACGCATCCGGGTTTCACATGAGAAAAAGTCGGAAGGTATGGTTCTATCTGCACTGTCAAGAGGCGGTACATCTCTGATTACCCAATGGAAGAAAGTGTGTTCAAAGTCAGGACATTTCTCTGACCTGATAAGCTACTCCCAGCTCAGCACATCTTTGTGGCTTTTTCTTTTGGCAGCTCTGTTAAGTACTGTGGCTGTACGAGAAACAATCTAGATTTGTATGGGAATGGCACTGCCAGAAAAATCTGGTATAGAGGATTTATTTTTCTTTCTTCATCCATCAAAGCATGTCCAATGTATGTTTAACTAGCTTTTTTTTAAAAAAAAAAAATGTGATTGAGACCATC